GTTGTTATAGGGATGTCTTTCTCAATCAATTCTTTATCCTACTGTCCCCATCCTGATTTTATTTTTTTGTGTTTGAGTGTTTGGCCTGCATGTATTTACGTGCACTACATGTGTGCCTGGTGCCTGTGGGAGCTCAGAAGAGGCCACTGAATCCCTGGAATTGGAGTTACAGATGGTTGTGAGTCACCATATGGGTGCTGGAAATAAAACGTGGGTCCCCTGAAAGGGCAGCAAATGCTTTCAACTGCTGAGTCCTCTGTCCACCCCCGCCCCACCTATCTTGCCCGTTTTTTTTTTTTGAGTCAGAATCTCTCACTGGCACCCTGAAATTCACCACTTTGATTAAACTGGCTGGTCAGTGAATCTTCCTGACTCCACCCCCAACTACTGGAGTTATAGACCTGTATGGCCTAGGGCTTTCATGTGGGTATTGGTGATTCAAACTAAGGTCCTCATGTTAGCACAGCAAGAGTTTTACACACTAAGTTAACTTCCTAGCCCCAGCATATTGGGTCTCATTAGCCTATGCTAGCCTCAAACTCACTCTGTAGCTGGGGATGGCCTTGTCTTTCTGATCTTCCTACCTCCATTTTCCAAGTTTACTGCCACGCCAGTTTTATGCAGTTCTGAGGATGAAATTCAAGGCACACACCAGGCAAGTACACTACCAACTGAATTACACACTCAGCCTGCATATTGATTTATTGGGGGAAAAGGTATCTATCTGTAGTGATAAAGACACTGCAGAGCCATGGATCCTTCAGTCATGACTGTACTGTCTTTTGAATAAGTGTCTCTGACTGAAACAGGAGCTCATAGATTGGCTAGATTAAGCTGTTTATTAAGTGCTTGGGACCTACCTGTCTCTGCGACCTCAGCTTTGGAGAGGCAAACACATACCTTCATGCCTGGCATATATGTGGGTTCTTAGGCGCCCATACTTGGATAGCAGCCACTTTACGAAGTAAGCTATCTCCCCAGCCACTTCTTTCCTTGGTGCTCTTTTGAAAGAGCACCTCAGGCTGTAGTCTAGGAGTGCTTGAAATTCAGAATGTAAGCCCAATTGTGGCAATCTCATCACAACCTCCCAAGATCCAGAAATCAGGGCTGAGCCATGACACCAG